AAATTGATCTACATTTGGATATATTTATATTCATATTATATAAATATATTCAAAAATTAAATTTTTTAATTTCAAGAATACTGTTTAGTTACCATCGTTCTATAAATAAACTATGGTATACCATCCATATCAGATAATAGTATTAAAATAAAAAATATATTGATAATAGCTACATCTCTTAATGATAATCAAATATTTTCAAATTACTTTTTTATTAAAAACAAATAAGTTTTTTTTTGTTACGAGACTATCATTATGTATTGGTTATATTAAATGGATGAAATTATTTATTAAATAATAGTATTATAATTACAATGTTTTGGTTTTAAATAATAAAAATGAAATTATAATTATTGTTTATATTTTTTTATTGGTTTATCATAACTGAAAATTATTTTTCTTCTGTATTAAAATAAAATTTTATAGTAAAATAATCTAATAAAATTTAAACTTTTACAGAATAAAGCATCATCACTTTCATCATTCATCTAATAAAGATTTTTTTTGATGGGGCCTAATTTATTTTATTTTACTTTCCAGATTTAATTTCTACAAGGTGTTGCTTTATATCTTCTAATTCTAAAATTTCTTTCTCTAATTCTCCCCATACATTACTTTGTTCGTGTTTTGTTAAATATAGGAATAACAATAATGTCATAATAAAAAGTTTAATATAAAAATAAAATTTTGTACCATTAAATATAATTTTTCGTCTTATCTTAATTCTATATTTCATAATATATTTTAATACAAAAAATATCAATAAGATTATCACGTACTGTTTTTTGCCTAATATACAAATTACATATATTTTATAACAAAATGACCCAAATTCGAATAGATTTTTTATTAACTGTTTTTTTTTATTATTGTGATGTTAAAAAATAATCGATATTGTGGGAAAAATGAAAAAAGTCGGTGTTATCGATATTCTTTACGAACCTTATTAGTTTTGTAATGATGATGATGAAAACATCATTATCGAAATACACATATCTAATTTTTTTAAGTGTCTTGCAGTATTGAGTTAATTTTTTTTATTTATAAATTTAATTTAAAAAGTAATTAAAATTGAAATTGTTAATTGTTGTAACAAATGTAAGATTCCTTTAAACTATAATGAGCTAAAACTCCCTTTTTGTTATTTTCTTTGAGGTAGTTTTATTCATTCATTATAATTTTATGGAAAATTTATATATTTAAAATTTTATACTTTTTTTATTATATTACTATTTTTTAAACATATAGTCTGTTTAAAAAGGACTGCCATTTTTGTTGTAAAATAAAAATTTGGTTGTTTTCTAAAAGAAATATTATTCAAGTGAAAAATTTTACTTATTTTAAAAATTATTTATCAATCGTTCGAATTTATGATTAAATTTTTGTCATTAAAAAAAATTATATTTATTAAAATGAAAACTAATTATTTCATAACTAACTTTTTCCGTACACAATTCTAATAAAAATTGATGTTGTATCTATTTAGAATAAATATCATATTTTGGAAATACATATATATATATATATAATTATATTTTATAATAATTTTTAAAAATTAATCACGTGTTGATTTATTTTCCTAACTTAAAATTAAAATTCCTCTGTTTGATGTTTATAATGTCAGTCATGTTTGTAATCATTGTTTAAACAAAATGTTTGTACGGAAAAAAATGATTTACTCTGATTATTGTCAAGTTCTCTAGATGAGATCAAAGAAGGATTATCCATTGTGAAATATTTCAATTCTTTTTACTTGGAAAATTCGTCAAAAAGAGTCAAACGGCAGTTCTTTGTTTAAATTTCTTTCAGATAATTTAGATAAGCCGGTAAGAATAATTTTGAAAATCGATATTTCAAAATTTGATATAATACAGATTAAGCTGTCCTTAAATAGATAAGTTTAGCCTTATAAAATAACATCTCAATGGAATAAAAATCAATAATATCGGAAATAAAGAAATTTATGTTTAAATTTTTTGTAGTATAATGTTATATGATACTTAGTTGGTGCAGTATAACATTTCTTTGCATTGTTATCATTGTGGCATTATTAAAATAAATTTTATATATTAGATTTAGTACGTTTTTCACAAGTACCATTGATCTGTACACTTTATAGTCGGACTTTGGCGTGTGTGGATATAGATTTTTAATTCTTTTATACTAAGTTGTATGTTAAATAATTCATTCTATTAGACTTTCTGGAATTCATTTTCTGAGTCTAATATCAATTCGTATATTTACGCGTTATTAACGTGCTAACATAAATAATATTTATTACATAAATTTAACATATTAGTAGTATCATACTACTCTAATTTTATGTATAGTCCTAATAATTATTAATCCTAACAAATTGAAATTAGTTTGGTGATATTAATTTATCTATTTTTTAGTCTTACCTTAGGCATGATTCCAGTATCTTTTCTCAACGAAACGCCTGCAACGAACCAAAAACAATTTGAAAGGGTAAAGCGTTTCTCCTGATGTATTTCCTCGGAATGAGGTCGCCATTCATATGGTGAAAATCTTGCCAAAAAGAACATTGATAAACTGACTACCAAGTATGCTAGGACCATAAAACCCCAAACACTATTTGCCAGAGGATTTAAAAAAGCAAACAGTTTAGACGGTTCATTGGTTGGGATCTGAGAAAATAATAAAATTGTACTCGGATGTATTTTTGGGTCTTTAACTAAAAGGTAAGTAAAAATAATAATTTTTAAGACTAGCAAAAGATTTAAATTAAGGTTTATAACCTTAGTAATAAATGAATATGATCATTTAATAAAATTTAATTAAATTCTATGAAAAATATAGTTTAGGAAGAAATATCTTTATCAAAGTTTTGTAGGAATATGGTATATACCTTAAATAAAATACCAATTCCTGTATTCATAAATGGTTTAGTGAAATCTACAACACTTTCTCGAGCATAGTTGATTGTCATCGATGCCAACGCTAAATCAGCTTTCTATAATTAATGTAAGCAAATTAATCTGATTAAATTAAATTCATTATAAAATATTTATAATACCTTGTCTATAAGCTCCCGCACTATGCCATTCCACTGTTTAGTCGTGGGATCGTATGCACCATATTTATTATCAGGAACTAATGTAATAGCGTATTGAAATCCAACTTGAGAAGCAATTCTCTGAAGCAAATCTATACAAAAACCCTCGTATTTTGAATTTCCTGTCAAGTTTTTATCTTCTTTGATCATTACATATGGTTTTTCCTGTGCGTTATTAATAAAACAATGATTTTCGTATGATACTAACAGAATAGCAACTAGCATAACTTACTATACGAGTAACAACGATGAGTGTCACATTTGAACTTTGTTGACCGTAAAATACGGAATGTTTTGTGATGTTAATACCAGTCGAAGGAGTCCAAAAGCCTACTTTCTTAATCTTTTCTTGGTGAAGTTTCAGTAGATCTAGTTTTATGTTAGATCGTTTACCTTCTTCAAAATGTATTCTGCCCGTTAATCCTTCAATCGCTACCTGTTAAAAGAATAACAATATATTTACGTGTATTTGATTTTGACTTCTTAAAAATAAATTAAAATCAAATACATGTGCATATAGCTATTAATTTTAGCATTTACCGCATTTAGCTTGTCGTAGAGAAAAGTTCCATTAGTCCAACGATTCGCTGATTTACATGAGATATTTTCCAATTGAAAATGACCTATTGAATCTATTGATCCTATACTATGGGCAAATACATTAACTGCATCGTACATTAAAGCGGGTTCAGCCTAAAATAATCAGGTATCATAATTAAATTGCTAATAAAAAAAAATGAAAGTGACAAAATTTTGTTCTATTCTTAATTTTAAATATATTTTAAGTATATAGTATAGATAATATATCGTTGACCTCTAGATTTCTTCTTTTAATAATAATTTTGTGAATTTTTTTTTATTATTTATTTAAGTAGTATTTACCTCTCGAATTTTAAATAGTATTCATGTCAAATGGTAACATACATATTTAATTAGTTTATAAAATATAAAATGATCTAAATGAAAAAATGACTGGTCGATAAAAATTGTCGAGTAATATTTTGTACCTGCGTGAGTAACGCGACAGAGAAGTACATAATGATAACCCATACTTTACCCCCAGAAAATATTAATAACATCAGAAATACTAGTTCAAAAAGTTGTTATCGACTAGTTTTTTACTTAATTACATCATTTTCTACTATATGAACTAATTAAATATGTATGTTACCATTTAAAAAAATAAAGTGTATACCTTTATAAAATATAAAGGATAGACTAAAAAATATTGAACTACTTTTAAATTGAGTAATAAATATTATAAAATAAAATTAACAATTTTTTTTTTTTATTATTATATTGTTTTTTAGAAATTTAGTGGTCAATGGTAAATTAACCAACCTGTACATTTTATAAACATATTTTAAATTTATCAAAAAAAAAAAAAAATGTATTTATTTATTTACTTGTATAACACCATTTTTATGTAATATGTTTTGGCCAATTTTCTGAAACTTTTCCATCTCACGTAGTATAATGGCGACTTTTTGGTTTTCATCGTCTACTATGCGATATGAAGTTATGTTCACCAAGTTATATTTAAAATCCTCTAAATCAAATGTTTCAAGGTCCTATGACAAAATATTTTTAATAAAATAATATTAGATAATTTAATTTTTTTGCATACTTACAAATGTAGTAAAAAGAAAATGGTATCGATAATCATTCATTTGAAGTTGAAGAATCTGAAAATAATAATTTAAAATACAAATTTATTTCATAAATAATAAATATTTTATATAAAAAAAATATTAACTTTAGTACTAATTTTCGTACAAATATTTCATATTACTTCAATATACATTGACGTATTAAAGTAACTGGATGCCATAAAAATTACGTGTTATAATAATAACTTTAATAATGTCTTATTGAAAAGTAAAATAAGATTTAATTTTATAATAATATTTCTATTTAAATTTGATATGAATTTGCTTGATGTATATTATTATAGTATCAAAAAGAAAGTACAATAAAAACGCGTATACGTATTTCGGGAACAATGTTTTAAGTTAAATATATTTAATATTTATTGATTTTAAATTATTTTATTTAATTTTATACTTATATAGTTGCAATTTTTTTAAGTATAGCATATCATCTGTGAGAAACAACTTTTACCCCTATTTTGTAATGCTAATTCGTTATTTTATAAGATAAGTATCGCGTCTATCATGAATACTTAACCTTGTAATAAATTACTAAATTTCATTACGAGTTAAAACAACTATTATTATAAAAACATGTAATTAATATTAATTAGTCGAATTTCTTGGAATGTTATAAAATATAGAGTAGTTTGTACAAAATTAAGTCCTATCATATAAAACTTTTTTATAATGATATATTTTTTTATGTGAATGTAAATTTTTACGACTAAACCATTCTTGAAGTACTACTTATTTATTTAATTCATTCTATAATACGTAGATTAACGAAGAGAAGTTTATTGTGACAAGTAAGAAAATTTTCTTTTTATCATCTTAACTAAATGGGCTTTTTTTATGATTTTTCATTGTAAGTAAATTAAGTTCTATCAAGTGATAATTTGTGCTGTATAGATAGCATCCGGATGGGGTGAAAAGGCATACTGAGATTTATAGTTAAAAATCCTAATCGCGAAAAATCCAGAGATTCTCAATAATCTTTCATTTCCTACTATCCTCAAAAAGTTCCTTTCTAAGAATTATAATAAGATGTAAATGAAGTCTATTAAATTCGGTCACTAAATTAATTTGGTTACACACGTAACCAAATTTGTAACCGTTACAAGTGTTCATTAAAATAATTGTACATGGAACGAGCATTTAAACATGCTTACATTGATCACATTGCTTACGTGATTCCCAAAGTAACGTTACATTAAATTTAGCTACAGAGAAGGCATTCTCTGGTCTGGGTGTTGTCATCAAATATAGTTACAAACTTCTGATTAAATTTATTACCTTTCAATAAACTTATACTTTTTATATTTAATTAATTGTCACTATTACTAAAATAATGATGTATAAAAAATAAAGGAATCATTAAGATTAGTACTTTACGTTATTATTCATTCTATTATATTGTAGTTACTATACCTATCCATGGACATATAAAAAAAATATTGTATGTAGTTTTTATATATAAAAAAGAATAATTAAGCTTGTCAAATTTTTTTTATAAACTTATCTCCAATATAGAGTTTATCAGTATTTAAGCGTAATTAAAAATAAAATTATCATATAGTCATTTTATGTATCTATTTAGATACATTGTGGTTTTTTATTTTTCAATTAAAATTTATTACCAATTTTTAATAAATGTGGACCATAACAATAGAATTATAAGCGCAATCTATTGTGAATATTATTGTACGTTCAATAAAGATATTGTTAAATAAATCATAGTTTTTTGTTAATTTAACTATAATTTTGTTAAAAAAAATTTTAAAATTGATAAATTGAGATTTTTTTTTAAATTAAGAAAAAAAACCCAGCACGGTAGTGTTGCGGCACAGTGGGGACGTGGCATAGTTGGGTCCAGTGTAGATATAATCTGACAGTGATTAAAATCACTATAGTTAAAAGCGCTACAGATTCTTAAATCTAAATATAATTTAAATCTACAGATTTGCATAGAAAATCTGTAGATAATGTTTAATTTTAAAAAATTGGTGGATTATTTCAAAAGCAATATGATCTACGATTTCCTTATTTATGTCCTGATTACAAGTTTTATGATTTATAAGTACAATATATGAATAAATATTTATTATAGAAATTAATTAAATATAGTATGAAATTGATATTTAATAATTTAGTATTGTAATTTTCACGGAGAAATTATATAGTAGTTATTACTTTTATGGCAAACGTATAAAAAAGTTGAAGGTCTTGAAACTATATAAAAAAAATTCAAATTAAATATAAAGAAAATAAAATACAATACACATATTATTAATTTAAAGGTGCAGTATAAAATAGAAATGAAAATATTAATAATAGCGATTATACTATTATAGCAACCGGTAACGACCAGACTACACGTAGTTAATTCTAAAAATAAATTACTCTAAATAGAAATATACTTATATTTTACCGCATGAACGACATTGCCGGTCGCTCGACACACTGCTCGTGTGTACATACGTACCTGCATTTCTGAGGGAAACTACTTTATTGTTCGCACATGGCAAATGTATTATAACTATTTTACCATTGAATATTTGCATTTTTAATAAAAATGTTGAACTAAGACTATACTATTAATTTTCTTCTTTTAATTAATTTTAGTAGGGGTGCCATCGTCTTGTCTTCCAAACCACGACCCACCGCTGATCATATTGATTTACTTATAACATTTAACTGCTGTATTTTGGAATTATATATATTTTTAATAAAATATGAATAAAGCTTACTTTTAATACAACGAAAAATCCATACAAATTAATAAAGATAATTAGGTAAATAAATTTAATTAAGTAATTATTGTTTAAGCATATCAATGGTTATCTAGAATTATAATGAACGCTGCCATCATACCGTCGAACAATAACTCTTAATGATTATTTTTCTGTGTGTGGTGTTACAATTTTACTCAAACTTTATACACAATTTTCTAATACTTTTGTGAATTTTTAATAGTATTAAAATAAGTTTTAGCCATATTTTATCAAAAATATATCCAATTCCAAATTACAACAGTTGAATGTTTTCACTAAATCATTTTAAATCAAACTTGAAAAATTTTAAAATTCTAGTATTTCGAAAGTTATTAATAATTTAAAGTAATAATTGGGGTTTAAGAGTAGTTTTTATAACTAGACATTTCCCTGTCGTACTCTTTCTCTCACCTAAATATAAATATGTCAATAACATCCGAAATACTGGTCCTAAAGATGTTATCAACTAGACATTTTCTTATTTAGATCATTATTTATTAAATAAATTAGTTAATTATTCATGTTGTTAAAGATGACCATAAAAAAAAAACTTAACGATTGAAAAATTAATAGAATTTAGAACTAAAATAAATAAAAAAATAAATTATTAATATTATTTTTTGATTAATTAAGTAATTTATAATGAGTGAATCAATCTATATATGAAAAAATAACTAAATTAACTAATTTTATTATATAAAAATAATAAAAAAAAAAATCACAAAAATAGTGTAGATTTACTTTATAAAATATTAGTACTAATATTGGTATATTTATGCGTCAGTATTTTGATCTAATTTTAATTTTAAAAACACATTTATAGAAGCTCTGTTCATTTAATTAAAAATATATTTATTATTTTTTTACACGTTTTCAACGGATACAGTTAGAAATTCGTATTAGAATTAAAAATGTTCTTTTTAAAGCTGACTGAAATTAGTTTAATATTTTTAGCAGGATTTTTTACATTATCTACTGCCATTCCTAAATCTATCATTATCCTTGAAATATTGTTTTCGAATAGTGGATGGAAAGAATTGAATGATTTACATAAAGTTTCATGGAAGGGAAGAATATACACGTTATCGGAGTCCATTGAACCTAATAATAACATCAATTTTACCGGTGGGAGAATACGTGGTGCTGCTTTAATACTCGGTTGTACATTCGCAAGGGACTTAAAGAAATTGTTTTTAATGATAAATTATTATCAATTCTATTGTTTTCAATCATATGGTAACACAAATATCTATAATTGTACTGTTGAGTTATTGAAAATAATAAAAAAAATATCTTTATTGGCAACAATAATGAAGGAATCATTGATGGCATTGGATGCTCTACATCCTAAAGCATGGTCTGATTATTCTACCTATACCTTTTATTATCATTTATCACTTTTACAAAGGGTTCCAAAGAAATTTGTAAGTGAACCTCCGTTGATAAATGATTCATTGACCTGTTTGAATATATTAAACTTTATTATAGATGATTTTGAATCAATGGAAAAAGATATTAATAATGACATTAAACATTGCCATTATGTATGTGATAATTTAAATTCAATAAAAGAAGAGTTTAACGATTATGTTAAAACAAATCTTAATTATGCAGATTCGTCAAAATTATTAAATTACGTGAAAGAAAAATTCGACAATGAAATAAATAATATTGTTTTAAAAAAGCACCACAATTTAGGGTTCTTTTATAACCCACAAATTAATATGATTGATTTACTAGTACCTGATGAATTAAAGACAAGTATGAGTTATTTTAATCATTTTTAAAACTATACGTTAAAATTTACATCTTTCCTAATTGATTTGTTCTTTTTATCCCGAATGATAATTACTCCAACACATGGTGCTGTGTTTATATGTAAAATATATTATTATAACTTTTTTTTTTCAAGACTTTATTTTCAGTCTTATTTTCTTAATTTATGTAAAGTTATAATACTGCACGTTTTTTTTACTCATTATAAAGACTTTTTTTTTTCATCCTCGCCTTAATGCCAACTACTCAGGGTTGGCCACCCTTATCCTAAACTTCTACTGAACACGATCTCCCACATCATCTACGCTCACATCAGCTGTCCTCATATCGTATTCAATAGCATCCCTCCATCTTTTTTTTGGTCTTCCTATACCTCTTCTTCCTTCAAAATTCATTTCTATAACTGTTCTTACAGCTTTCGATTTTTCTCTCTTTATAACATGACCAAACCATCTAAGTCTATTTTCTCTCATCTTATCCACGATTGACGCTACACCTATACTCCCTCTTATATGCTCGTTCCTTATTCTATCTTCTCTAGTCACTCCAGTCATCCATCTAAGCATTCTCATCTCTGCTACACTCATTCTTTGCTCTACTGTCTTATCAACCGCTCAACACTCTGAACCATACATCATAGCTGGTCTTATTACAGTCTTGTAGAATTTACCTTTCAGCCTTATTGGAATTCTTTTATTGCATAAGACGCCAGACGCTTCTCTCCACTTCAACCACCCTCACTTAATTCTGTGTCTCACATCCTCGTCAATACCATCGCTCTTTTGTACATCTGACCCTAAATACTTAAAACTTCCCACCACTCCAATCACACCTCGCCTATTGTCACTGATCTCCTCATATCACTTACCTAGTGTTCTCCTTTGTCAAACTCGTACTCTATATACTCTGTCTTACTTTTACTTATTTTTAAACCCTTTTCTTCAAGAACTGATCTCCACACCTTTAGCCCTTGATTAATTTCCTCTCTATTTTCTCCTATTAACACTATATCGTCAGCAAACAACATGCACCACGGCACCTCTCCTTGTATTTCTCTAGTAATTTCATCTATCACTATAGAGAATAAGTAAGGGCTTAAAGCAGAACCATGGTGCACCCCTACTCTTACCCGAAAACCTTCTGTCATTGCTCCTACGCTTTTTATCCTGGTACAAGTACCATCATACATATCTTTTATTATATTAAAATATAATATAATACATAAGATTTATAATACATTATAAATGTAAATTCTATTAATAACTGGAAAGAAATTAATTAAGCTGTATAACTATTTTGATACATCGATTAATATATTTTCTCTTATTTCATTTAAGTTTAAAAGGGTTCGCCTCTTCTTAGCAAACTATTATTAAACCAAATGATACTACAATATAGTTAGATAAGTTAAGAGTTAATTAAGTCAAATCAAATTTTGAATCCCATTTTTTACATAATAATGCAACACATTTTTTTTTTGACACTATTAAAATATAAAAAAAAATATTTTTTTTATATAAATTATTAAAAATAATATACAATACAAATTTAACTATATGTTTTTGTATATGATTGTTCATTTCTGTTTAGATTCTAAAAAGAAATCAAGTAAATTATCACTTAGGAATGAAGGTAAAATTTTCTAATTATATAAAAGACTGGTATATAATTTTAATTTTAGTATTAAAATGTAATGTTATTTTTTGTTTAGCGATGAAAAACAATAAAAAATCTAGCGCCGAAATAGCAGATCTATTAGATCTTCTTGATCTATGAATCTAAGAAGAATAACATGATCAGTCTCCAACTTTATTTCAGAATATAGCTGTAGTTAGTGTCACGTTAAGTTTGAATTCCGTATTTTTTAAAATATTTATTAAGTCATTATTATTTGTTTTTTTACCATCAGTCTTCTTTTTATTCCAGGATTGAAAAAGAATAATTTATCTGAATATATGTCGGAGGACACACACCCAAAAGAAACTAAAGTCCTAATATAGTAGATTTTTTTGAATTTTATTTCGCTAAAAGTATTTAAGTTTGAAAATAGATAAAATTATTAATTTTAAATTCAGAAAGTTAATTCGCAAGAATTAATGTGTTATATAATTTGAAATTGAATAAATCCTTAACTTTTCGACAACTAGACGAGTTATTTTATAAGCCGCTTCATATTAGTGTTTTAAAACGTCAACTTATTAAAATAATATCAAAGCTTATAAATAATTAATGAATATATATAATTCTAATGACATAAAATACAGAAAAAAAATACAAATATTTATGGTCCAAGTGAATAGGAATTTAAAAGTATTCTATTAAATTTAACACTCATATAGTATTATTTTAAACTTATAATTGTGTAGTGGACGTACAACTACAGGATTAGTAGTTTTGGGTAAAAATCATTGTAAAGTTACAAAATGAAATCTAACGACACGTTGTTCGTATATTGGCCTTTGAGTATTATTTCGATAATACGGGAAACGATCGCTGATAATTTTGTATATATCTGACAGCGGCAGCATTTTTTCCGGTGCGCTCCAAATAGCCATTGCCGTTAGGGATATGTAACTGTACGATGGCTTCTGGTCGCCATAAGACTCTCTAAAAAGTCTCGGCATAATCTCTCACGTCACCATCCTTTTTTATCGGCCGACAACGCGCACCTCGCACCTTTGCTCGACAATAGTACAGGTCCGCAATTGTTATTTGCACGTGCAAATACGAGACTGTGACGATACTTAAACAGCGTTTGTTTTCAGATTACACGACTCTGTAAGATTGAGACGCCAATCGCATTATGACTCAATAGCAGTTTTGGTTCGCCATATGCGAAAAACTATAACACGCCGATATGATTGTTATCCGAGACCAAAATATACTTTTCTAAACCCATTTTTGGAACGATTTCAAATCTGCAATTAGAGTTTCACATATGGCCTAAATAATGACAAAGTCCTTCTAATTAACATAAAAAATATTTATGTTTGATTATTACGTTACGTATGAATAATCAATAAATATATTTATTTAAGAATTAGTTGAAAAAGTTCTACTTTCTATACGCATTTTTAAGTTTTGAACCATCTTTGTATAAAGGGAAATGGTCCGATTTAAAAAAAAAAGTATGTCGAGTGAAAGAAGTATATAAATAGTATTTATCATTAAAAAATTGTATTGATCCATACATTTTTCAAAAAGTTATAGAAATATAAAGTTAAAAATGTAAAATATAAAATCTAGAATTTTAACACAAAAATAGAATACGGTTGCTATTTTCACCGAAAAAACAAAAGAAAGTCCGAAATTTTTTTTTTTCATTTTAAAGTATATTAAATTAGCTTTAATTAATAT